GCCGAGCACCAGAGTACATAAAATAAGAAATCCAATACATAAAAGCCATGTAAAGCAAAACACTATCTTCTAAATTCCTCCAGTAATCACCATTATAGTGTAATAAAGCTAGATAAATGACAAGAGCCGGGCAACCAGTAAGATGACATTGTGGTTAGACAGAGGGGGCCCAGAAAAAACCTGATGGAAAAAGCCCCATAGGGAAGAAAAGGATAGGAAATCTGGGTAGGAACCAGGACCAAGCTCCTGCAGCCCATCCTACGTGGTGAAATACATTCAGAAATAAACAAATTAAAAATTCTGGAGACTGGTCAGTGATGTTGGCCTAGAATGATTGCCCATGTGCAATCCCAAGCTTAAAAACTCACACGCCATTACCCATGATGCAACTGCACTAAGGTACTCAGGCCCACGGCCTGTTGCTCCCATGCTGCAGAAATATTTAATTTCGGGCTAATTGGTGACCACTCAATCGCCAGAAATTCCATTTATTCATGCAGGCTTGAAACGTGAAAAATCTGATGGTTTATTTTATTGTATTGTTTTTGAAATTAAGAGATGGAGGCTGTCATGAAGATTAAATCATTTCTTGTTTGTTACTAGGTACAAAATAGAGAAGCAACAATGAAAGCGGTGTACTGAGACTCAAGAGGAGGAAGAATCAATGTATTTAAACATTGGATCCCCTATAAGGTGAGTCAATTGATGTTGCATGTACTAGAAACATAAATTATGGAGGTGAAGAATTAAAACAAATAGAGATGTTATTTTTTCACTGTTCTGAAAACTGCTCTTTGGCAAACAAGAACAATTTAATTCATTTAATGTAACTGTGGCTAATACTAGCCGACTGATTTTGCTTGCAAACGGCAATAAGCTGAACTTAAATCTGCCAAAGTTTGCTTGTTCCCTTTACTTTTTTCTTCCCATCAGGCTTTTTGGCACTTCCACTAATATTTTTAGAAGAAAATTGTCAATATTCTTGTATTTTAGTTTGCAACTTTTTCACCGCAGAATGTAACCGACCTAGTTGGGAAAATTTAGACTGCGGTTTAAATCAATTTCAGCCAATCAAATTCGTGAATTCAGTAGTTCCCAGTCCTTGTGAGACAGCCATATAACAATTAAGAATACAATGCTTGAGGTTAACTGTTGTTGCTGAATAATCAGTTTGT